CTTGCGGTTTCGGGACCCTCTCCGAGGCCCCGGTTGCAAAGAAGACGATCCTGTGGTCGGTCCAGGCGTGGTTGGTTCTTCTTCTTCTTGTCCATCTAATTAATTAATTTTTGTAAAAAATCAATAATTCGACCGGACAAATAAATAAAAAGAAACAAAAAAAATATATATATTTGTGGTTAAAAAAAAAATCTCACCTTCTTCGTGGTCACGGCGTCTTCTCCCTCCACCAATGTGGGGCGCCGGTCTATGCCTCGCCCGTTGAGAATGTGTATGCTGGGGTGGGGCGTACTCATCTTGAGATAGAATTTGCTCCGACGACGCCCCTTGTGTGACCGACTGACCCCCAACAGTCAGAGAAGCGTACAGAAGTTCCTGGGCTTGCTGGAACTGTGACTGCGCTCGGGGAGGTAGCGTATCAATGTCTTCAATGTTCGTTAGCACGTTATACGCCACCTCCGTACCCGAAAACTGCAAAATTAAATTCAAATAACTATCAAATATTAAAAATAATAATAATAATAATAATAATAATAATAATAATAATAATTACTTCATTGAAGACAGTTACCTGACACTTCTCCCGGTCGGCATATGGCTGAAACCCGCCGTCCTGTGACATCGCCGCGTAGTTGTTGGGGTCATTGAGTAGTCTCACAGTCCTACTGTGATACCAATCAATGTACCCATCTGCCGGCTGCAGGAAGGGATCCACTGGGACATCTTGGAGGACGTTCTGATCTCTATCTTCGGTCCAGATCCTCCCAAGATCAGCATGGAAGGCCTGCCAATCGGTGTATGCCCTCCCAGTCATGCCCTGGCCCTTGTGGCGGGTGTCCCAGTCGGCCAGACTAGTAATGAGCGGCTGTTGGGGGATGGGCTGGTGGCACCGAAACTGGCGGAGCACCCTATCAGTCTCGTGGGGTTCTGCGATGTTCCAGCAGAAGATCCACCCCTTGTACATCCAGAGATGTCGGTCTTGTGTGCACACTTCAGGGAGCCGACCCTCGTCTATGTACGTTTGATAGGGTACCCAATCGAACTGTGAAAAAAAAACATTTATAGAATTATTAATAAATTTAATAAAAAATAGAATTAAAAAAAATAATAATTATTCATTATTATGACCTAAGAAACTTACATCAGTCTCTCTCAGGCCACTCAGCTGATCTCGGATGACAGCCGTGCCCGTCACCAGGTGTCTCATGTCCCTCGATCCCACCCACCTTAAAAATCACAGAAAAAGTTTTATTTGTAATTACAAATTTTGATAATTGAAATAACTTAAGTGTTGAATATAAATAAATGTTATTATTACCTTGCACCCAAGGGACAACCCGCCTGAGAGCCGAAATGTGTTCTTGTCATTAATGGGCGAACACGAGGGATGCGTTCCCATGCCCAAACCTGCACATATGGAGTTCGATTGTACTAATTTGACTTTAATTGTACTAATTTGACTTTAATTGTACTAATTTGACTTTAATTGTACTAATTCGAGTTCGATTTGTACAAATTTGACTTTAATTGTACTAATTCGAGTTCGATTTGTACTAATTTGACTTTAATTGTACTAATTTGACTTTAATTGTACTAATTCGAGTTCGATTTCACTAATTCGAGTTCGATTTGTACAAATTTGACTTTAATTGTACTAATTCGAGTTCGATTTCACTAATTCGAGTTCGATTTCACTAATTCGAGTTCGATTTGTACAAATTTGACTTTAATTGTACTAATTCGAGTTCGATTTGTACTAATTTGACTTTAATTGTACTAATTTGACTTTAATTGTACTAATTCGAGTTCGATTTCACTAATTCGAGTTTGATACATTAGATAAATCATCCAAATTCAAAATCATCCAAATACAAAATCGTCGAAATACAAAATCATCCAATTACAAAATCATCCAAATACAAAATATTCATCTAAAAAAATTTAGTTCCCCCAATCATCGCGGAGTCTAGTTCGATCGATGGGAGGATGCGAATACGGGCAATGGTCTGCGAAATGTAAGGGATCACCACATCTAGTGCATTGACCCTGGCCCCTTCTGCGGCGCGCCCGACGATCCATTTGCATTTTAAAGCGTCTAGTTTGGGCGCGACCGGGTCCAGGCTTCGAGATGATCCTCTCCCAATGCGGAATCAAATTCCATCCCACCTGCGGCCACGTGTCAGGATTTCCAACTGGAGTAAAATTCCAATTAGAAAATTGATTAACCCAGTTCTCCGTCCAAAAGTAGGGATTATACAACGACACCGGTTGATCACCCCGCTGACGACACACTCGAATTGCATGAGAGCATGGTTTTCGATGTGTCTGCCACTTCCTACATGCACAACGCTGCTGCTCATAAAAGACCTTAAACCTATTTTCAACAATGATTTATATATATAAATTAGAAAATTAATAAACTCATTTGAATGGAAAAAAAAAATACAATTACAAAATACATACCTGTTTTGCCCTCTTCCATTGGCGCGTAGACCGGTTGTCACCATGTACTGGGATCCATCGGCGTCCACACAATGCACCTCGTGAGTCACCGCCGTCTTTTCCAACTCCCAATAGGCGGCATAGAGGTCGGTAGGAATGGGAGTCCTGCATCCTCTGGACTTCTTTTGTTCTTGTTCAAACAAATCCAGAGTCTTGTTCAATGTGGCCTGTACCAACGCTCTGCAGGGCAGGAACCTAACACCTTTGAGGACATTGTTGTAACTCTCTGACATATTCGTTGTCAGAGTTCCCCATCGACGTCCTCCATCTTTGTACAGGGTCCACTTTTCAAGAGGAATTTTGAAAAGGTAATCGTATGCGTCCGGGTTACATTGATGGAGTTCCTGTCGACTCTGCTCAAATTTGCGGCGAGAACACAGTGAACCCAACCTCCAACACAAACCCCGGACTTGTTTATTCCGGTACCTTGAAAACACGTTGCTCCGGAGGTGTCGAAGGCATATCCGATGAAATGCATGGGGTTCGTGCCAAGTCTCCAGTAATTCAACAGCACTCAATATGCCGTTGTCCCTGTCGGAAAGAAGACATATCGATCTGCCGGGGACGACATGATGGCGCAGATGTGTTAGGAAAAAGGACCAGCTAGCCGTGCTTTCTTCGTCCACAATCGCATACGCGACTGGCAATAGACGCTTATTCGCGGTCTGTGCTATGGCAACAAGCAGCTTCCCCTTGTACGAACCTGCCCAGTTGGACATATGTTTTTTTTTTTTGAAACACTATTGTAAATTAAAAAATAAAATATTAATTTGCAATTAACAAGTAGTTTCCCCTTGTACGAACCTCGCAGGTGCGTGCCGTCGATGCTAATAATCGGCGGGCAACGAACGAAGGTTTGAATGGCGGGGCCGAATGCCCAGAAGACAAATCTGAATTCTCTGTCTCGAGATTGCTTCGCCATTTCTCCACCCTGCCATTCCCACTCAACGACTGTACCGGGATTCGCCCTTTGAAGGGCAGCGAAAAACCTGCAAATTATAAAAGGTAACCATAAATAAATAAGTAAATAAATATAGTTAAAAACAACGGGCACGAAAATACGTTTATAATTTTATTTTTGCATACTGAGGGAGTTGTGCGAAGTTCGTTTCCCACGTGCCATACAGACGATCAATGGCTTTTTTTCTCCCGTGCCACGCCTTTTTGTAGCTGACATCGACGCCCCTGGCACTTTTTACGTTGGCCTGGACCATTTCCACACTGTAGGTAACCTGCTTCTGAATCTTAGCCAACAAAAGATTTGAAATCATGGTGGCGGTCACATTCTTGTGGTCATTTCTCTCGAACACCTGCATGCAAGTGTGGCTATCGGTCCAT